TCGGGGTTGGTAAGCTTTCTCAAAGCAAGTTTAATCCCAAGGAACTCCATTTCGTCCACCTTCGTGAAATTAAGAAATCTGGCAATTTGCCGGTTTTTCGGAGCAGGATTCGCCTTGCTGAATAAAGCTGTAGATTTTGCAAAATTAATTTTTTGGCCCGTCCACTTGGAATAGTCCTGCATAATTCTCTTTAGCATCTTGGCCGCCGCCATATTTGCCTCCGAGAATAGAATAATATCATCTGCATATAATGTGAGAATAGAATATTATCACCTGAATACAAGAGGTGGGAAATGGAGGGGCCCTGTTGGACATTTTAATACCAATATGACCAGCATGTGAAAGAGCCCAAGAGAAGAGTTGAAAACATAAAATAAAGTGATAAGGTGATAGTGGGCAACCTTGACCCACATTTAAGGTGCATTTGAGGTAGCTTGTGCTTATCAGATAAGTCGCTTATCTGGAAACGCGGACCACAGGGTTCAACCCACGTTCCGGGTTCAGTGTAAAAAACCAACTGCGTTTTCAGATAAATTGCTCAAATATAGTTTCTAAACTATGAGACAACTTTTTCAAAATGTCGTCGCAGCAGATAAGCTGCCCCAAACGGAGCCTTAGCCTTTATCATGGGGATTGCCTTCCATTAACGAGTAAAGTGAAGCTTGGGTGCTCGATACAACTGAGAATCCAATTTTTGAAAAGCTCAAGGCAGCCCGAAGACGTAAGAACTCCCCAAAACGTGGACCAACTCATTTTGTCATAAGCTTATTCCATATCAATCTTAATCGACATGAGGCCACTTAATTGTGGAATACTTAAGCTTATTTATCATCTCCTGCACCACCAAACAGTGATTTGAAGTGGATCTATTTGTGATAAAAGCTCCTTGTTCCTCGTAGACGAGGAATAGAAAAGTTCCTTTCAAACAATTTACTAGGATTCTAGCCTGCACTTTGTAAATAGTGGTACAAACCGACACCTTTCTGGGACTTAGAACAATCAAGGATAATTTCCAATTAGAAGGCATGTGGTTGGAGGCAAAGAAGTCATGTACTGCTTGAAGCCTCTCGTTATGAATAATAGGCCAAAAGTGCTTGTAAAAGGAGGAGGTCATACCATCCAATCCCGAGGCGCGATTCAGACCCATGTTTTTGATTGCTTGTGAGATTTCATTATTTCTAATGGGAGCATTAATTTGGTCAGAAAAGTCAACGAGCAAGTGCGTGGAAGAATATAAATTCGACTACGCATTTGGTTGAATATAAGTACCATGTCATTTATTAGAAACAAAAGCCAAAAAAAAGTTTTAAATTTCTACTTGGTCTTCCGAAAACTGGCCATATGGAAGCTTAATTTGATTTATGTGGTTGCATGTATAGCGCTTTGTAGCTACATTGCCAACATAGTGGGAAAAATGGGAGTTGGAAGCAACTTCATTGAGCCATCTGACTTTCTCTCGCTTTGTTGCCCCCAAGATGCAATGCGGCAAGAGTAATGTTAAGTTCATGAACATGACTCTGCAACCTGGTCTCTTCTTCCGATTGAAAGCAATCATTAGAGCAATCCGCTTCTTGTAGATCTGCATCATCATATTCTTACTTCAATAATGAAGAGCCTTTAGAGTCTTACCTTACCAGTGAAGGATTTCACCGCCAGTACCAAAATCGGGTTTTCCCTAGTTCTTTTGCACGAAGTGCTAAGTGGTGGTCTTGGAGACCAAATTATCCTCTAACCGCAATATAGCCGACAAATAGAACGTAAGTTGTTGGATTTCCAGAGGGATCAAACAATGGTTCGAGGAATGCGAGACACATGATTAATAGTAGCAGTAGGAATGATGTTAAGGGCTGCTGAGTTGACAATTTACAATCATGTCTCACCCAAATTTTGATGGGACGATCTTTATTATTGCACCAGGTATATTTAGGACCAATAAATCTCAGATCATGTAGATCATGATTGACCATAAAATTAAGGATGTCCTGGACACCGTTATTAAAACTGAACGGGTTCCCTCCTTTCTTATCTTGTTGGCTGATTATACAATTAAAATCTCCACTGATAAGGGTGGGAGTGCCTCCTAAGTGAGGGAGTACCTCCTAAGTGAGAGCTGATATCGTTTCAAAGATTCGAATGAGAATGACAATCACAACTAGCATAAATAGTATAAAAACACAACAACATATTGTTTGGGAGAGTAGTTGACCCGACAATAAAATGTTCTTGTTTATGTTCCATTTTGAACGACACAAGACCTTTTTGCCACATGATGATGATTCCGTCAGACTTATCCGCTGAGGGCTGGTAATAAAATCCCACATATACCCTGCGATTCTATCATATTCCTTCTGACAAATGTGCTCAACCCTGGTTTCCATAATTCAATGAAAAAAGGGTTATTTTCATTGATAAGGTGTTTAAGGAAGTGGTCTGTTGCCTTTTTCTGAGCCCCCCTACAATTTCAGAAAAGAATGGACAATATTAAATCACAGAAGGAGATGCATCCATTCTTTTCGAGGAAAAAGATTGCGTGTTCATTCTTTGTTTGATAATAATGAGATTGTGAAACCTGAATCTAGAAGGCCTGTTGTACGAACAAAATTGAGAGGAGTTTTTATAATTCAATTGCTCGACTAGATGAGCAAATAGGAATTAGAGGGAGGAGTACCCTTAGTTCAATTGTTTGTCTGGAACTTAGAGGAAGGTGAATAGTTCTCGGTTTCCACGATTTCAGCACTGCGTGACTCATGTAGGGAGGGGGAGGGTGGGGGGCAAGCTGAATCGATCGCATGGTCAAATTGTTTGTTGTTTTAGCTAACCGAAGGGAGAAATGAAATGATTTGTGAAAAATCGAACGGAGTGTTTGAACTATCTGTAGAAATTGATCATAGGAGTCGAATCCACCTCAGACTTTTCAAACGGAGTGAACGCGTGCGAGCGAGGGAGACGAAGGGGGAGGGGGCAAGCTGAATCGATCGCATGGTCGAATTGTTTGTTGTTTTAGCAAACCGAAGGGAGAAATGAAATGATTTGTGAAAAATCGAACAGAGCGTTTGAACTATCTGTGGAAATTGATCGTAGGAGCCGAATCCACCTCAGACTTTTCAAACGGAGTGAACGAGTGCGAGCGAGGGAGACGGAGATCCTATTGTTATGCTTGGCTTGGAGAAGTGAGGCCTATTTATGCTGTTGTGGTCACGTTATTGTGGTCGGATGAGATGGTTTGAATGACAACTTTGGAGGAGACGAAGCAACTGCTTGTGCTTATGTGAGCATCAAACGAGACAAAGCAACTGGTTGTGCTTATTTGTGCGTACGTGAGTGTCGAACGACAACGACAAAGATTTTTGTAGATCTATCGTCAGTGATGAGAAAGTTTAGTTCAACAAGCCTCGACCTCAAAGACAGAACAGAGGCAATAGCGTTGTAGCCCCACGAACGAAATGTTTCTCAGAGTTCTGATGCCATGTGGAAAATTTGAGAAAGTTTTTTATTTCTTACTCAATAACAAATTACATCCTACTATATGTAATAAAGTGGCCAACATACCTGTCTAAAAATTATGAAATTAGAAAATTAGAAAATATCTACTAATGGTAACAAATAAATATTAAAAGATATTGAGTGAAGAAAACAACATCCTTCCTAATAAAATATATAGGCTGGGTACTTGTAAAAATACATATAAGAGCCAAAGGAACATTAACTTTTAGGCTATTAGAGAAGGGCTTGAAGATTTTCAAAAGTGAATACATTTTATTGAAAGTTTAGTTGCTCTTTGTTTAGGGAATTGCCTCCATTATTATGGCTAGTTTTCAACTTTAGTCCTGCTATTTTGGTTTGATAAGTATGAGCGTCTTTTGAGTTGATTTCTAGGATGAGAAAAACTGCACTAATTAGTTACTTTCTGCAGTTTTTTTCCAAAATATCCCGTCTTTTTACAGACATCAAAACAAAGATTGCCTCTTTTTTCCACACATTGAATCTTTTTCTTGATTTTGCTCTGAACTTCTGATGGCAAGAACCGATCTTCTAGTTTGAGGAGGATTCTCTTTGCCACCAAGAATTAGTTTGCTTTCTTCTCTTCGAACTTCAGCCAATTCTTTTTGTGATTAGCTGGAATTGGGTTTTGATACCATTTTAAGAGGAAGAAATAGAGGAGCAAAAAAGAGAGAGATCGATTATCTTCTAGCACTTTTTGTGGCTGAAAATTTTGGCCAATATAAATTCAGGTTGCAAGAGAGTAGAAGTAGGAGTTAAATGGAGGTATTCTAGAAATTACGGATATCTAGAAATACAGCTTACCATGATTTTAAAATTTACTAAATTGTACATTCGGCCATCAGCAGGACTCGCCTTCAAGGGAGAAAACCAGTTTTTGCACGTGTCCACTGCTAGCTTGATTTCCAGCCAGGGACGCACCAAATCTAGTGGCATCAAATTAAGATTTATATGGTTCTATTTTGAGTCAAAAATTGCACCAGAAAATAGCTTTTAGGGAAAAAAATGGGTGCAGCCGGTTTTCAGCAGTTCTCAATTATTTATTTTGAAATTGTGGGAGTTAAATATCTTTGTGCAGAGTCTATCTTTAACTTGTTGCAGCCCATAAAGAAGTGGTTCATCTTTCACTCACAGATGAATTATTTTGATACTGTTTATCATTTTCTCCAGTAATAAATTCAAAATGGCCCCTTTCATGTGTCCTGTATTTTAGTTAAGAATTAACCAGTAAATAGTCCTATCAAATCACTTTTGCATGCTCGGTTTGGAGCATTGAGTGTCAAGATTGGACTCTCTGGCTAGAGCTCCATTTTGAGGGGCCTTGCTGACAAATAATGCATTATTTCGTTTGCATACCGTTTTAGTTTTATTTGTTTGAAGTTCATGAATCATTAGCTTATCTTCCATCCGAAGTTCCCGTTTAAGCTGATTATTTTTTTTATAATTCAGTGAGGATACTTTCTGTTATGTTGGTATAAACTTATCATTCCGATTGACAGTTTATGGAGTGGTTGGAAACAACTAAGCGCCTTGACTATGGAGAACGTGAATATGCATCTCGTCTGGATTTGGTTGCTAAGGTTCTCGGCCTTCAAAAGGCAGAAAGCTACATTGATAAAATTCCCAGTTCCTTTAGGGGTGAATTCCTTTACAGAACTCTTCTAGCCAACTGTGTTGCTGCTGTCAATGTTAAGAAAGCAGAAGAAATATTCAATAAAATGAAGGACTTTGGTTTCCCAATCTCTACCTTTGCATGCAACCAACTAATATTGCTTTATAAAAGGGTGGACCGAAAAAAGATTGGTGATGTGTTAAAAATGATGGAGAAGGAAGATGTTAAGCCATCTCTCTTCACATACAGCCTTTTGATAGACACCAAAGGGCGTATACATGACATATCGGGCATGGAAGAGGTTCTTGCGACGATGAAGGCAGAAGGCATTGAGCCCGACTTATATGTGCAATCTGTAATTGCAAAGCACTACATATTTGCTGGGGAAAATAAAAAAGCTGAGATATTATTGAAAGATATTGAAGGGGATGACATCAGTAAGAACCGTGCTGCCTGTAAACCTCTTCTTACTCTATATGCTGCTCTTGGTAAGATTGAAGATGTGGGAAGAATTTGGAATGTGTGCGAGGAAAATCCCCGATTAGAAGAATGTTTAGCTGCCATTGAGGCTTGGGGGAAGCTGGGAAAAGTGGAGAATGCTGAGAAAGTCTTTGAGATGATGATGAAATCATGGAAGAGACTTTCTTCCAAATATTACAATGTTCTTTTGAAGGTTTATGCTAATCACAAGCTTCTATCTAAAGGGAAGGAATTGGCAAAGAGGATGTCGGATAATGGCTGTAGGATTGGCCCTTTGACTTGGGATGCTCTAGTGAAGCTCTATGTGGAAGCTGGGGAGGTTGAGAAAGCTGATTCTATTCTGCACAAGGCTTCTGAACAGAACCAGGTGAAGCCACTTTATAACACTTATATTTCTGTGCTGGAAAAATATGCTGACAGGGGTGACATTCATAATGCCGAGAAGATATTTCATAGGCTAAGGCAGATGGGTTATATTGGTAGGATGAGGCAGTATCAATTATTACTACAGGCCTATGTGAATGCCAAAGCACCAGCTTATGGGTTTCGAGAGAGGATGAAAGCAGATAATATTTTTCCCAACAAAGCTACACTGGCACAATTGCAAGCTGTGGATGCATTCAGAAAGACGCAGATTTCTGAGTTGCTCGATTGAGGTTTTTCGTATTTAGCTGCATGTTTAATCAAACAAGGTAGATTTTTTAAGTAGCTTTGTTAAGAAAGATGGCATACATTGTTTGACTATTGCTAAATGTCCAGTATTTCTGCTGTTTGGCATGACCTTGATCATCATCAAGGAAATTCTGGTGTATTGTTTTATGCTGTTATTGCATATTTAATTTGCTACAATGTTCAAATTTTGTAATCTTTATGTGCTTTCCTTGCAATGAATTTTTATTTGCCTTAATTTGATTTCTTTTTTTTTTCCCAACTACTTATGAGTGATTTTAGTTTGTTTCAATATTCAATAAGGTATGAATTTGGTCTCATATTGACCTGATTAATTCCAACCTATATAAATATGATTGCATAGTTAGAACTTAAAACTGTTGTAATTTTGTAATCGCTTACTGCCACGTAAATAAATTGATTCCATATACCCATTAAAACAATCCTTTTGCAAATATTATCCATTTTAAAACCAAATCATTTTAAATTCCTTAAACACTTGTTCTGATTAGTTGAATTTTTGATCTATCTATTAAAGTAAACAAACTAAGCTAATTTCTTACACCAGCTTGCTATGAGATGAAATTATGCAAATTACCCCTCATTCCGAGGAGAAAATTTTAACCGGACGTCTTGACTCCAATAAAATTAAGCAAAATGTACAAAATTTAAAAAAATTGCTTGCAATTCGACTTATAAATTTATAATTTTTTAGAAGGAGGCCCCACTGAAATCTACTTAGCGTTTATTGGAGTCCGGACGTAGAGCTTCTTTTGGACTCGGTATGTAAATTTTTTTAAAAGGGAGGCGCTGGTAAAAGCAAAAAGGGACAATTGCATGCAGAGCACCTAAACATTGCAATGTATAAATCAAGCACCCCCTTCTCACTCAAATAGTCCACCTCATATTTTTCATTTTTTATCAAATTCTCAGTTGTTTGATGGTGACAGATGTAAATGCATCGGTTTGTTGGTTTGAAAATTTGTAAATAACAATGTTTCATATGCTCTATGTGTAATTATCCCAAACCAACAACAACAACAACAACAACAACAAGTTTTTATTCCAGTAAGGAGGGGCAGAGGGGGGAAATGAAAAAAATGTATGCATATATAATTTTTTTCTTGGAAGGTCGATAAGAAGACAACAATCAGCGTAGTATGCTATGGTGAGTTGATTCCAATTTAGCACCTCGTAGCAGGGCTAAAAAGTCAGATTCCAATTCAGAACCTCCTAGCAGGGTTGAAAAATTAGGAGAAAGAGGCAGGAATCCAAGGACTGTGAGCCCACCATGAATTATAATTTATTTGCCTTTTTATCCATCCATTATTCCAGCCGAGGAAGCTCTCCTCCATGCATGCCATGCCATGCCATGCGATTTCAGCTATAAATAGCTATGCCTGGGCCTGCAGAAGCTTCAGACACAGAGGCCGAGGAGAAGATAAGAGGATGGTAAGTATTAACAAATTAATTATCATGATCATGATTTTTTTGGCATTTCTGTAGTTATAAGATGCATGATTTCCTTCTTCATAATGCTTGGTTTTATGTACAGGAGAGTAAGAACTTAGGGGCCGAGTCGAAGACCGTTATAGCCGAGGAGGAGAGGGCGGAGAAAAAAAAGGAATTGGAAGAGAAGGAAGCTGAGGAGTCTGTGGAGTGTCACCATCATAGCTCCGATTCTAACTCTAATTCGAAATCTGGCTCTGAAAGTGGCTCCGATAGTAGCTCTAAATCTGGCTCCAGATTACTAGTATATTTTACTCTTTTTAACTTTACAATACTTCTATTTTGAGCCATTTAGAAGAAGACAAAAAGAAAGTTGTGACTTGTCTCACGTTTTGTCTGTGAATTATTTTATTATTTAAAGCCGAAATACAATTTGAGTAGCTCTAAAATTTATATTTTGAAAAAATGCAACTATATCTTAAAATTTTAATCACACCATTCTCTATGATTCTATCTAACGATTTATTTTCAGTCATATTTAAAAATATATGATTATTAATGAATGACTGAAAATTGTAATCATATTTTTTTAGAAAATAATTAATTAGCTATCATTGATCAAACGTGTTCTTAATCAAATAATAATAAATAGTTCTTTTAGTTCCTGGAAAATGCTCAAAAAGTTAAAAATAAAGGTTCGATTATACTTTACTAATCTAAAAAAAAAAGATTGACAATATAATCCTTAATCACATTTTTTTTAATCTTTTACATACTAATCATCTAAAAATTTTAAATATAAAGTTTTGATCACTTAAGCTTAAAATTTACGTTTCAGCAACCCAAAAATTTATTTTCTTTTGAAATAGAAGTGATCAATACGTTAAATGTAAAAATTTGGGTGATTGAAATGTAAAATTTTAAGTTTGAAAGATGGAACTAGTTATATTTAAAAAAATTTTGAATGGTTGACATGAATACATACATATTATTCTAAAAGACGAAATATTAATACATACACATGAATTTCTATTTTATATCTGATTTTGGAGCACAGAAGGATGGTAAAGAAAAATCCAAGGAGAAAATTTACAGGAAGAAGCACAAGAAGAAGGGTTTCAAAGGGAAGCTGACGGTGAAAGCAAGCAAAACAGGAGATGAAGAAGCGCTGGCTATTACAGATGAAGACAAGCTTGGATGCAAAAGCGATTCCAGTTCCAGTTCCAAATCCAGCTCCAAATCTTCCTCCAGTTCTAAATCTGTCTCGAGCAAATCTGTCTCCAGCAAATCTAGCTCTGATTCTAAATCCGACTCAGATTCCGTAATTATTTTCATGCAGCATGATTCATTTATATTTACATAACACAATAGATACAAGCAAGTGCAGCATATTCTGATTATTATTACTTCTTCATTTCGGGGCCAAACTAGATAAGAAAAAGTTCAAATTTTTCTATGATTGTAGATAGTAGAAACATTCAGCAACCAAGATATTTACGCACAACCAACCCAAAAAAACACATTCGCATAGTTCTGATGAACTGATTTTCTTAGAAAACACAAAACTAATCAGCATTCTGTTGAACAGGGAGGAGGCAAAAAGAAAAAAAAGAAGAAGAAAGGGCTGAAGCAAAAGAAAACAGAAAGTTCTACTGAAGAGAATAAAGTGTCAGAAAAGGGCAAGCTCACAGAAGCAGGACAAGAAATTGAGGCAAAAGGTGCAGAGAAAACAGATGACGCAGCAACATCAAAGGAAGAAATAAAGCATGAGCTGCTGCCTGTTTCTAAAAATAACAAGGCTGAAGAAATTACTGAAGCTGCTACTGAAGGGAACTAATCACCATTAAAATGTGATTTAAATAAATATGAGTGCTTATTATACCTTATGAGATGTGTGAATATAATGTATGCATGATTGTTGATTGTCTTTCTCAAGTATGTGGTTTGTGTCATGAATGACAATTCTTAAATAGAGGAGGCAAACTGAATGCCCTACTTATCCATGTGAAGGAAATATGTATATGGAATAAAGTAAATTATGGTATTTTTCATTATTCTAGTTTTGGAATTCATAGATTTGGGGAAAAAGTGCGTTTCTTATATATCAGAGATTGATTGCCCAATTGAACACAAATTAGTTGTTATCCTGCTCATATACATCTATCCTCTTGTTTTTGTCCCAAATAACTAATAGCACAAGAGCAATCATGAACTCTCTTTTTTTCTGCATGACAGCTCCAAATAAATAGTACAAGACTAAGTATAAGACTAATAATATGATTTAAAGAGGCCAGTTTGTATCCTATTTTAGCAGGATTTAAGCATAATTTGAATTAACAGAAAATTTTGGAGCTTCAATCCTACTATCTTGATAAATCCTATTTCAAACTCGCCATTGATTAAATTCCGAATTTAATAAATATCAAAATTACTAGAATTTAAAAACTGCTCCTCTCCTAAACTTTAATTCTCTAAACAAAACAGCTATGAATCACTTCAACAGAATTAATAATTGCCATGCAAAACAGTCCTCAAATTTTAATCCTCTCAAAAATTTTGTAGGAGCAGCTCCTCATACAAAGATTTCTTCAAAGGAGCTTCTTTTCCTCATATCCTTGAAACAGCCCCTCATGAGAATGAGGTTGAGCAGTTTCTCCATACCGAGAAAAGCCAAAAAGTAAAACAGCCCCTGAAGCCCCTCAATCAGCACAACCAATCCTTAACTTTCTTCCCCTTTGCCACAAACTTACCCACATTCTTCCTATCTATCTTCAAAGGACTTTTCAACTGAAACATCATCACTGAAACCAGCTTCTTGACGGGAGACTCTCCTCTACTTCTGCTGTGCTTGCCAGACCCACAAATAATAGAGAATTCCAAAGGCACAGCCTTCCCTGCAACCAAACAGCTTCGAATCTCTCTCATCCACTGTAATATGATCACGTAAGCTGATACCAAGTGAAGGCCATGCAAATCCAATTTCACTTCCGAATCAGACCAATCCAACAGAGAACACAAAAGAGGAAAGTCAACCAACTCTCTGAGCAACAATGACTCATTTGAGCAAGGAGAAGACTCTTCCACTTTTCTGAACAAGGCGTCAATGGAAAGAGGTAGAGACAAAACATCATCTGTTAGCATCGCAATAGTAGGACACGAATTCAGAACAGAGTTGACAGTTCGGAAAGAGAATCCAATTCCTGATTCTCTAATTTTCTGAATCCATGAAACCATCTCTGACAACTTTCCATGATCACCATAACAAGAAAGCACTGTGTTAGCAGATAAGGTGTCCAGCGCCATACCGTTCTCCTCCATCGATTGGAGAACTCTAGTCATCTCCGCAAAGGCTCCAGCGCGGCCATAGGCTCGAAACACTAGCCGGAACTCGAAAGGCGAGGGCTTGAACCCCGACGAACCCATTTCCCGCAGAAATTCCTCCGCCTCCTCCGGCATTTCCATCAAGCACATTCCTTTAATTATGGATTGGTACGGTCTCTTACCGGAAAAGGGAATCTCCTTCAATCGGGCGTAAGATTGGAGAACTTGTGTCTTCAATCCTCGACCTGAGAAGGCGTCTATGAGATCGCAGTAGAAGAGAGAGAGGTCACGCGGCGAGCGGAGAACGGAGGTGGATTGGGAGATTAGGGTCAGGGCATCGAGGGAGCAATGATGGTCCTCGAGGAGAGATATGAGGGAGGCGATGAGCTTGGAGTTGAATTGAAACCAAGAGGTTTCGGATAGGAATTGATAGAGGTGAAGAGAGAAAGGGGAGGAGTGGGAGATGAGAAAGGAGAGGGCTTGAAGGGAGCTGGATTTGGAGGAAGAGGCGACGAATTTGCGGACAAGACGGACGGCGGTGGAGGGATCCGAGGTGGCGGACAAGGAGTTGAGGAGGCGACGAGAAGGTTTGCCGGCGCCTGCGGGGATTGAGCATCGTGGGGAGGGATATTGGGAAGTCGGGAGTGAGATGACGCACTCCATAGTCAAAACTCCACTTTTTGGATGAGAAGCCCTAAATCAAAAGGAAGAAAATGAAGGAATTCATCAACTTTTATCATTAGCAGTTGGAATATCATATCTGAAAAATTTAGTAGGAATGTAAACACATGATTTTATATTTAATTTTCTTTCGCTAGATTGGTAATGAGCATGGAGACAATTATGACTTTGTGCCTCCGAGCTTTTATTGCTCATTTAATTTTTATCATTTTTAATCTTGCTAGCTTTCCAGTGACACCAACATTGACCAAATTCATTTAAAGGGCGTAGTTATGATTGAAGTAGCCAGATTAGGTTGTGATGTTTCACGACAAATTTCATATTATTAAATAATTTAAAAAAATGTAGCATATTTGATGAGAATTGTATAAAATGGATAACATAAAAGTAGTAGGAAGAAATCTTATTAGATTTCCTACAACACTAAAATCACTCAATTTCGTTAAGAGACAAGGTTTCAGGTACCTAAAAGATTAAATGCTTAGATCAACTTAATTGGAAATATCTTGCTTGCTTGTATATTGAATCACTCTTTGATGCCTTTATACCTTTTCTGATTATACATTGATTCATGATGTGAAAAAGAAAAAAAGAATATAAATTATATTATTAGGCTTGAGTTTACCTGCTCTTTTTTTTTTTTTTTATAGATTTGAGAGTTTATTCATTAAAGAAGAAAATTAATTTTTTTGTATTTATTTTACTGACAACCAAATAATTACAAATTATACTCCACTCTGCATATATCTAACTAAATAGAAAAAATAATTCTCTTGTATTTAATATACACTATAACAAAACAACCACATTTTATTAAAAAATTTCAATAAAGAGTTGTTAACTTATGTCTCGTTTTATGAATAAGTTTTGGGAGTCCATTTTATTGTAATAACTAATGAAAATGAAATTTAAAATAGGAATAAAAGTTGTAATGAATCATATGTAACAGGAACACATGTTTATTGTTTCTCTTAGTTTGCAACTCATTCAACAGTCATCACAACTCTATTTTATTTGCAAATTTACATACATAACACCTAATTTTTATGTATTTATCTATCCACACCCAAACTCCTATTAACATCCTATTTATGGATGGAAATATGGATTTCACTTTTGAGTGTATGTAAATTCCCTTATTTTTTATTTCACCAACTTATAATAAGCCCTTAAAATTTTCTTGCTCTCCTACCCAACCCCTCCACAACGCCCAAAAAACACGAAGTCCGATATATTATTGGCTAAGAATTTCTGCGGATGTCGTATAATTTAAAGCGTTGATTGTTCTGAACTTTTTTTTGTCTTAACAAATAAATGCAGAAGGCATGCGTTGCATGTGACAGGAGAGAGAGAGTTATTATGTAGAAAGAAAAGGGAGAGTAGGGAATGAAGAGGGTGGGTGGATGAGAGTATGGAAGGAAAATTTGGTTGCAGCAACTAGAATTAATGAAGAGAATCTTTGTCTGCCAAACTCTTAAAAGTTCATAATGTCTTCCATAAATGCATCCTCCTCTCTCCTATCCTCATTTATTCACATTTACCTCTCCCCCACCAACCCATCTCATCTCTCTCGACCCGCCATCTTCTCTCCATCAGCTCTCCATCGTTCTTCCATGTCCCTCTTCTTAATTTGTTCCCAACAATTTTTAAAACCTCTGCAGCTTCTGATCTGAATCATTTGTTATGAATAACTGCTGGAGAGGATTGGAATGTTCCCTCGGGGTCATCACTCCCAATGAAAATAAGCCTTAAAATTAACTGTACATCAATGAACTATGATGTACTCAACTAAAGTAGTCAAAACAATCGTAATAGAAGAAGCCATATTGCTTTCCCTTATATGGTATCACCTTAGGAGTTGTTGTTGTGGATTAAGAAAGGCAAATTGGCTAAGTTGTGTACTAAAAAATCCTACTTATCATAGTAACCTCTTCATAAGATTCATATTACATCCACCCTTGGTGAAATTAACCTACATAATACCTGTCTCTAGCTTTTTTAATCCTCGTTTACTAAGAGATTCTTCATTAATGAAGAGGGCAAAGATTGCCTTGGCTGGGAGATATCGAAGAGAAAATTAAATAGTAATAAGATATTGATATAATTAATGACATTAGCCAAATTGCATTAAAAATTTGGAATGGCGATGAAATATCTTTTCTAAAAGTATTTATGCTGCTAAATTTACAAGTTCAGACAAAAAAATAAAACCTTCATATACATGTGGTAGTTATTATTATATGAGTAAACAGATAGATGAGCTTGGTTTATATAAAAGAGAGGCTCTCTATGTCAGACTTTAGACATCTTTCAAATGGCTGCTAATAACTACTGAATAATTATCAGTAACCTACCTTTTGGAGGCTCTTTAAAAATGTTTCCATAAGATATAATAAGAAAAACTGAAATTAATAAATATATTATAAATTCAAGAGTGAATAGAAGTTTTTTTTCTTAGAGAAATACTTCATTTTCACTCGTGAAAATATCATTTATTTGTTTTATCAAAACAATTCTCACGCAGAAATCCTATAGGAAATGACTTTCTAATCATCATGATATATGAATGGCAGTAAGAACTATACTGATAAGTCTCCAACCTGGATACAAACTTATGATAAAATAACATTGATATCACAATATATACATACTGGCCGATAGTACTTATAAGAAATTTTGATTTTAGAAAACTCACCTTGAAGGAGGAAAAAAAAAAAGCTTAAATGAAAAAAGTTCTGAGATATTGGCACGGCTCAATCAAAAAGGAGATTCAGATGATTGAATGTACAACAAGGAGGGCTAGTAATTCTTTTCTGAATGAACCGAGCCAACATCACAATACCTCTTTCACCGCATGCCTGCCGTCCATGCACAAGAAGAAGAGGAAGAAGACGAAAGAAAGAAGAAGGAAAAACAAACAAAAATGAGCAAAAACGTATTGCAAGGATATATGTAGAAGGGAGTCATGTATCAGCTAGCATTTATAGCGCTTGGCCACCAAACCAAAAAGATGCCTCATAACATTTATTCTATGCAAGCTTCACATATAAAAAATATTCTTCCTCTCTCTCTCTCTCTCTCTCTCTTGTTCGGAAGCTTTTAATATGCTTCAAATTCCCAGAATAAAAAGAAAAAAGCTTTGTATATGATCATGATCTGTTATGAAGCATTTATACAACGGGATGCCATTTAATGAACGGGATACTGTTTCTAATCTCATGTAGCTATATCTTGATGGTTAGGTGAAGAAAGGGGAGATAGCAAAGGAATAAAAATGGAGTTGGAATGGACATTACTTAGCTTTTTAATTACTCCTCCATATCTCTCTTTATAACTCCTACCATAAGAGCTGCACTTAGCATGTGGAGAAGTGTGCGACCTGCTGCGACCTACTGGATGGGAACAAAGCGTGAGTAAATGAAAGAGCGGTGGATTCAATTACTTGCTCTCAGGTGCGTGCTACCACTATACTCATTTTGGATAAATTTATATTGATACGTGCTAGAAAATTCACGGAGCTAGAGCAATAAATTATTGTCTTAGCGTTGCACGAGGATTCAATACACACTCAAATGAAAGTGAAACAACCAGTGATGACACCAGAAGTTTTTACGTGGAAAACCCGTAAAGGGAAAAAATCACGGGGCATGTTCCAATTGTAAAAATCCACTATAAGTTGATGATTACAGATGTCCTTTGTCCCACAGGCTGGAAAGGTCACAGGCGGGAAAGTGTTACTAGCTTTCCAAATTACAACATCGACTAACGACGTCTAGTCAGCGGTGGTTGAGGGAGATCGACGGCTGTCGTTGTCGACGGTCAGTGGTGGTCGACGGTGATCGACGACGACGATGATGATTTTGGACTTAAGCTCCTTCTCTCGACGGTCAGTGGTGGTCGACGGTGATCGACGATGACGATGATGATTTTGGACTTAAGCTCCTTCTCAAAGCCTCAACTTTTCTCTAAAGCCTCTCTCCTTTCATGTGAGGAGTGAGTCTCTATTTATACTGTTTTGAGTGCAATTAATGCAGAAATATGAACCATTTTGATCGGACGATGTTTGATGGACATTTGAGTGCCTTAACGATGTCAGAATTGAGCAATCATGGGCTCATTGGATTCGTCTTGTCGAGACGCTCGATTCGACTATGAACTCGCTAGATTCGACATCCGTTTGATCTTTCAAATGCCTCCGGAAATCCTCCAATAGAGGTTTAATGATTTGATACGGACTTGATTTGACTTGGATTGGACTGATTTTCATATCGTTAGGTCCGTCTCATTGAACTGATTAGTTTGATCATAAGTTTGCTGAAATCAGAGATCTGACTTACTCTTAATCGAAGATTGAATGTTTCTTGTTCAAAAAATTGTCTCGAGATCCGTGTTGGATGTTGAAAATTTATTGGTGCCGTATCAATTGTCCCATATTTTCGGGCGAAACCTTTTTTTTTTCGTCCGAAAATATTAAGATCTTCATGGAGGGCATAAAAAAATTTAGATATATACATTTTACTGCTTTCAGTATGTATATAAGAACAATATTTATCCTTAATGCATAACTAAGTTAAGTCTAGCTCAGTTGGTAAGTGTTTTGCCCAGGTGAGGGTTCGAATCCCACCCTTAACAAAGAGAAAATCCGAAAATTGGGCCCACTGAAATTTTCCCTTGGAATCCACTACTGGACCGTGGGCCTCGCCCTGGGGATCTGACCCGGACGAATCTGGACCGTGGATCCGAATCTGGACCGGCGGGATTCAGAGAGTTGGGAATCAGAAGAAGCAACCGAATTTAATAATTAAATTGTATAATTAAATTGTAAATTCGGGCCATTGCCAAAGCGGACCAACTGAAGCAGCGGGATTGGGGCTCTGTGCTGGATTGGAGAGCTGTTAAAAGAGCTATTAAAAACGGGTCGCTGAGCGGGATTGAAAGTAAAAGAGCTATTAGAAGCGGGCTTGAGTGGGATAGGAGAGCTGTTAATTAAAAATTAAGAGAATCCAAAGCGAGAGCAGAAGCAGCTCTTAATTTGGAGAGCCGAAGCAGCACCTTGAATATGAAGAGTTTTTCATTAATTTATTTTTTTTATATGTTTTTTTTTTTAAAATCAACCATAAAGACAGAATTTGAAAAACTAAAAAATGATGGAATATAAAATAAAAAATTTTTTCTTTTATTGTTATTTTTATTACTATTATATTTTTTTCAATGTGCATTTAATGCTATATCTCATATCATGCCTATAAATAGAGACATTGGATGAAGGAAAAAATCACAAGTGAGGAGGAGAAGAAAATTATCCGGCGTTGCGGAGAATAGTTGCGGTGGAGAATAGTTGTAGCGGAACGAAGTGTTACGACGAAGCAAAGAGTTGCAGTAGAGAGTTGCGACAAAGAGTTGCGGCGAAGCAAAGAGTTGCTGCAGAGAGTTATGGCGAGGCGGAACGTTGCAGCGAAGTGTGGCGGTGCAGAGTCAGTGCAAAACGTCACTGAATTGACGACAACTGGAGAACCTCGTTCTGCTGAGAACCAGAGGAAAGGTCAGAAACCAGAGGATGCAGTGTCAACTGTGACGAAGAGCTAATTGAACTTTTTTTGAAAGAAGTATTTCTCCCCGAACGATATAGTAGTTAGTTGTGAAGTTGCCGGCTTCAACTGGTCGAGCATATCCTCCACCTTCTGGGTATATTACTATTTATGAGGTTGTCTTAAAAATTGGCCTACGATTTCCTCCGACACCCGAGTTTATTGAAATTATGAAGGCGTTCGGGGTTTGCGTTGCTCAGTTATCTTGACGAGTGGTGCGGTCATTATTGAGTTGACAATTTTCTTCAGGAGTCGCGGATTAAAGTTAACACTGGCAATTTTGGCACAACTGTGTGGGATTTTTACTGATACACATGATCGTGTGTTGTTTAAGCATAAGACGTTGGATTTCCGTCTAAAGGAACCGATGACACAATGGTCCGTAAAATTCTTCTTTGCAAAAAAAATGATTGGGGGCTCCGCTAGAGGCGAGGAAGGTTTCTACAATTGTCTGTCTCTTTTCAGATTACCGAAGAAGAAATACTACAGATGCTGGAATTTCTTGACATGAAGGAACTGTTGTTTAAGATACAATATATTCACAAATTTGTGAAGGATGAATCATTGTTCAAGGTCAAGCTTTCTTTCCACCCCGAACGGTCAGCAATTGTAGCGTTAAAGAAATCTAAGAAGAGACCTTCCGAGCTAGCCCTTGCAAAATCCTCAAGGCGGCTCCCAACAAGCAATGAATGTGAAGTGCTGCCTCAGAAACAAAAGAAAGTTGAAGCATCACGGGAGCTTTTGCCAAGCCCTTCAACTATTCACGTTCCTAAAAAAAATCTTGTGTTATGAGTGTACTGGGCTCCTAGAAGCCGAGAGTTTTGTATTTTTTCTCATTTTCTACTACTATATAATTATTTCATCTTTCTAACCCATATTTCTTTTCTTCTAGGTGGATAAGATGGTGGAAAACCAGCAGGGGCGAAGACTTGCATGAAGAAACTAGAATTCCAAGTTCAATAAAATCAAATATTTTCAAGGCGAGTACAAGCGTCGGTATGAATCTGGGTCGAAAAAATTACATCTCTGGAATCATAGTTGATAGAGTGTAGGACAGAACTTTCAAAAAAGACAACCTCCCTCTTGTTGCAGCTTCAGGATCTGGAGAAAATTTGGGAAGGGTTGGTGGAAATACGAGCTAGCCTTCGTGAAAGTAATAAGAGCGTGAAAGCCCTTAAGTCGACGATGTTAGCCCAAGAAGAAGAGATCCGACTTTTGAGGTCCGTAAAAGATGTCGATGTTTCAGAAGTTAAGCGTAAAGCGGTCTAAACTTCATAAAATCGCTTAAGTTCAAAACTATCATTCAAGACCATGTCCAAGAAGCTCGTGATCATGTACTTGATGTTGAGGTAAATGAGCAACAAAAGTGGTTCACCAAAGAAGGATTCATCCGGGGCTTCTTGAAGGGGAGTCAAGCGGCACAACGTCAAACCAAGATTGTTGTTGAGGGGCTCACTGCAAGCCAGGCTTCAGAGGACCCTTCCTCAGATTATGATGGTGATGACATCGAGAGTGAACTAAATAAGGTGTTTTTCAATGACAACGAAGTGGCAGAGAAGAACATTGACGTCAATTAGTGCTTTACTCTTCCTTTTAATGTTTGTAGCGTATTTTCTTTTGTCATGTTGCTTTAACTACACAGATGTTGTTATTCTTTTCAAACTTTATCAAAATAATGTTGTATTAGTGATGCATGTCGATCAATTTATTTTGTTAAATGTTTGCCCCCCCCAAGTATCTTTTTGGTGATAAGCCGTGGGGATAAATCATCAACAACATTTTACTTGGCTGAGGTTATTTATCAGAGTTTTACTCGATGATGTTAACTTGCATAGGAGGAGCCAACGAAAGTCCCCCAAGGACTTATTAACCCATCCGAGGTTGTTTGTTGGAGCATTGCTCGCTTACAAACTTGTGTGGAAGGGGTCAGGTGTAGCCCATCAAGGACTGTTAACCTATCCAGGGTTGTTTATCGGAGTAAAAACTCGACGATGTTAACCCATATGGAAGATGTTAGATCGAATCCCTCTGGGATTGATCGTGCTCTGACTAAGATACAATAAGAGTTGTGAACTGGAGTTGTGTATTTCTCGGGTCGAGAGCATAAAGTGACTCGTGAATGAGTCATTACACTTTCTAAAAATATCCTTTATGTATAGAAAAGTAAATGAATAATATTTGAGATACATTAATTGTGTATGAGTTGCAATGTAATAGTATATGTGGACTACATGACCGGGGTGTTACTGATAATATTTGCTAAGATTCTCTGTATTCCAAGTCCGGGGCAAGATTTTCCCATATGAATCCTTAAGTTTAAAGGTTCCAGGCTTGATCATGACAGCCACAAT